AATACTCTTGAAATCTTTTGGTTAACCATGATTTTGGTTAACCATGATGCCTCAAGGAGATAGATTGACACGGTGACTGCAACAATGGGCTTAAGCATAACAACATTTGTGAAGGTGGTGGAGGACTGGGCAGTGTTTAGTTCTGTTGTACATAGGGTCGCAATGAGTCAGAACCGACTCGAAGGCACCTAACAACAACAACATGATTATTTTATTTTTAATTTAAAAAAATTCAGGTAATTCCAGTTCCAATGGGATCAGTGTGGCTTAATCTCTGGTGACAATAAGTTATTTGGTACATTAAAACAAAAAAACCCAAACCTCTCGCCACTGAGTCAATTCCAACTCATAACGACCATATAGGTCAGAGTAGAACTGCCATGTAGGGTTTCCAAGGAGTGGCTTGTGGGTTTGAACTGCCTCCCTTTTGATTAGCAGCCATAGCTCTTAACCACTGCACTACCAGGGCTCCATTTGGTACATTAGAAGTAGAGTATATTTATAATAACTTGGATTAAATGTGCAATATCAATAAATATCACATACAAGTATATTTCATAGAATACTTAACACAAATGCTGATAGCTTTTTGTTAGTGGGCTTTATAAAAATTCAATAGTGGGTAAAAACTCTATAAATTATGATTTCCTGGTCTTTTTATAAGATCTCATCAGTAGTAAATATTACATTGTGATATTGCAGAATTCCTTTGTCTTTTAAGAGTTCTAATGAAATTTTCACTTACAGTGCTGTTATGAATAACAATTCTCAAATGAATTTTTTACACCAACTTTCTATGGTTTTCTAGCCTTGCATCTGCCCTTTTTCCAGTCACCATAAACATTGCTTCCAGATGGTTCTTTCTTTAAAACACAAACCTGATTGTATCTCTGTTGTATAAAAGTCTTCGCAGAGATCTCAATAGCTTTCAGAACAAAATGTAAGTTCCTTTAGCATAAATTATATGGCCATACTTAAAGGGTTGCTATGAGTCGGAATCGACTCGACGGCAACGGGTTTGGGTATGTCATCTCTGGAGCCCTGTGGCGCAGTGGTTAAGAGTTCAGCTGTTAACCAAAAGGTCAGCAGTTTGAATCCATCAGCTGCTTCTTGGAAACCTTATGGAGCAGTTCAACTCTGTTCTATAAGGTCACTATGAGTTGGAATCAACTCAGCAGCAGTGGGTTATATCATGTCTGCATTCCGGATTCCTCTAATTCTCAAAATCATTTAAAGTCCCCAACCCCATAAGTCTCTGCCTAACTTGCTGCTTCTCTGTATCACAAATGACCTACTCTTCATCTAGCAAACTCTTACCTGTGTTTCAAAACACACAAGTATAGGCATTTCCTCATCTCTTTTCTCTTATTTCCTCATCATTTGGTTAAATTATTACTCAAATCATACTCTGTTGTATTTGTTTTTATGTATTTATTTAGTTGGAAGTCTCTGTCATAGGTTGTAAGCCCCTTGTGGGCAAGAGCAATTTTTTATTTGATTTTGCATCCCCTGTACCCTGAGTTGGAATTGACTTGATGGCCACTGTTTTTTTTTTTTTTTTTTTGGTACCAAGCACAGTGCCTGATGTATAGTAGGCATTCAGTATGTTTTGAGTGAATAAATGAATGAATCATATCTTTTAAGAAAAGTAGACAGATATGATTGCCAGTCCTTATTTTGGGGATTAATTTTTAACTGTGTTAAAATTGTATCTTCTGGATTACACATTTTTCAAAATCACTCAGCATCAACAAGATGTTTTCAAAGGTGAAAAATCAAGCTCAACGAATATAGTAGTTCTATTTAAAGTAAATGTGGTAGTTTTACTAAAATGTATATATATACACATAGAGTTGTAATAATATGCTTAAACCTAAAAAATATGCTTTTATTGCTTTCATTTGATGTTTCATTTGATGATTTTAATTATATTTAATCAGTTATTACATTTTTTAAAAAATTTTTATGTAGAAGGACTTATAGAGTATATGGGTCTGTATGTTTTTACTAACTAGTTATGGGAAGCAATTGAAATCCTTTCTGGCCCAAAGCACTACAAATGAGCTAATACACTGAATATGAGACTTTTATTAAAGACTTTTACATAAATGATTTTTACTAAATTGACTTCATTTTTGAGAGATGCAAACTAAATTACTCAATATTTTTCCTTTAGTTAGTGTCCATATGGGAACTATAAATTTTTTTTCATAGAATTACAAAGAAGGAAAATATCAAGCATCAACTCTTACATTTTTCTAAACATATATTTTTCCTAGAATAATACAAATGATCGAGACTGACCTTAAAAGATTTGTTTTGTTTTTTGGGTTTTTTTGTTACAACTATCTGGCAGTTTCAAATCTCTCTCTTGAAAAATGGACACCACGATGTTTTATGAATTTTGTTGTTGTTCTTGTTCCTCTGATTTAATTTTGCAAGGTTGGCTTAAACTATCATTCCTGTTAGAAACCATGAAAAAAAAACAATGTATCTGTTGATTCAGTGGACTTGTATAGAAATAACAAGAAGATTGTAAGAAGCAAGTAATCTCCTGAAAACGTAAGGCAACATAAACTGTGCTCTGTTCTAATAGATCTATAAATCTGGGTTCCCCAGGCTGTTAGAGTGAGTCTTCTGTTATCTATATTTACACAAGAAAATTTCTCCTAGTAGATTTATCCCTTCTGTCCCTGGGTTATGTGTTGAATTAGGAGGCAGTATAAATAGAAGCCCCCCAAAATAAGTCACTGCAAATCTCAATGAATTTCTTGGGAAAAAAAAAAAAAACACTTCTTTTTCACCGCTGTAATTCTTGGAAGTATGAGTAATTGGTTGTGTGTTTTGGTTTACCCTACACTTGCTCCATCCTTGGACCTATGCTTATATGTTCCAGAAGGACTAGAAGAATTTGGTGTGAAAGTTTTTACTGGACACTGCTTATTGTTAGAGTTGTTTAAAGTTTTAATTTTAGGATTGCTGCCAGTTATACCAGGTTCTGAAAATTAAAGTTGATTTTCAAGTCTTTTCTTGGCTTTAGTTTCCTAACATAAGCAGCTAGTTAAACTGAAAGCAGATGATTAAAAATGTCATGGAGTAAACATGGTGTTTTCTCTTCAACAGGAGTGGGTTTTTGTACGAGAAAGAATATATCCTTGTGATAACTTCCAGTTATACTGTCTACGGGTCGTGTCTTCTACTTTCTTCTCTCTTTACCATTAGGCCTCAATTTGAATCAGAACTTTATTAAGATTTTTACTCTTATCCCTCCCTCCTCACCTGTTCCTATTAATGATTTGTGTCTAGGTTTCATTTTCTTCACCTACTCAAACTTACTAGTCTCCTGATCAGACTTTCTATTTATTGACCCCACACACCAATCCATGTCACCTTCAGTGGAGGGCTAAAATTTCCAGAAATTCTGCTTTGCGTGTATTGTCTTCAAAAGAGTTTGAATAAAATCCTCACTTTGGCTTTTCATGCTTTCCTTATCCTGCGTCCAAATCTATCCTTTTTGACATATGACTTTTATACAAGTTGGACCCTCCATTCCTGCTAGATTATACCCTGTATGCTCGATGAGCTCTTGTCCCTTGTACTTTGCTCAGTAAGTCCCTTGCTAAGAATGCGTTTATTTGTCTCAACTTATCAAAATACTGCCGTTTCCTCAAAGCACATGTAATGCCCATTTCAGGTACAAAGATTTTCCCAGCTGCTGCAGCACAAGGGGATTCATCTATCCTGATGTCCTGTCATGTTTATTACATGTACTGTAACGAAGTGCTCCTCCACTGTCATAGTACCTCTATCATTGCACTTCCCACGCTCGTAGACAATTGTTGGTTTAGTTTTGTTGTTGTTATGTTTTGTGTTTTCTATGAGACTATAAGCTCCTTGGAGTCCTGGTGGCACAGTGGTTAAGAGCTCAGCTGCTAACCAAAAGCTCAGTAGTTCGAATCCATCAGCAGCTCCTTGGAAACGCTATGGGGCAGTTCTACTCTGTGCTGTAGGGTCACTATGAGTCAGAATCAACTGGACGGCAATGGGTTTAGTTTTTTTTGGATAAGCTCCTTAGGAGTCCCTGACTGACACAAATACTTGAGTGCTTAACTACTAAGCAAAAGGTTGGCAGTTCAAAGCCACCCAGAGGTGCCTCAGAATAAAAGCCTGGCAATCTGCTTTGGAAAGGTCACAGCTTTGAAAACCCTATGAAGCACAGTTCTACTCTGCACGCATGGGGTTGCCATGAGTCGAAATCAACTCTAGGACGAAGGTTTTTTGTTTGTTTGTTTGTTTGTTATGTTTTTCTTTTTGAGCTCTGTGATGATTGAAATAGGTGCTTTTCATTAATCTTTAGTGACAAATAAGGGAGCATAGTAATTGCCTGATTAATTCTTATTTATGTTAATGGTTTAAAATGAATTAAATTGCGTCAACTATTTTCATACATGTCCGTATATCGTTAGTTATAGTTATATGTAATTCCCATCACTTCAAATCCTCAATGTAAGCACTTTGAGAATAGGGATCATATTTTATGCCTTTTGTCATCCCAGTGCCTAGTACACTGTCTTGTAAATACTATGAGAATCATCAGTGTTTGTCAATAGACCGATTTCAGAGGAAGAAAATGCTTGTGGAAGGGAGTGATTCGTTTGTATCTTTATTTAAAAGGTAGGACCAAATAGGGAAGCCATATTTTTCATTAAAAATATTAAAATACTATTAAAAATTATTTCTTATGCAAGTATATGGACCACAGGGTTACATAATACATTTAAAATGTATCTACTAATACGTTTACCTCTTTTCTCATATTTGTTAGAGTGTTCTTTCTCCCCCTTCTCTTTTGCATTTTGGGAAAATGTGAAAAAATAAATTAAAAAACTGTAGCTTCTGTCTGGTGCTGAGCAATCCATCTAGTACCAGATTTTCTGTTAGATATCTTTTTCTTTGTCAATGGTTAATATTTACACTCTTTCTCTCCTTTTAAATTATAGCTCCGCCACAGTTTGTGGTTAGGCCAAGAGATCAGATTGTTGCTCAAGGTCGAACAGTGACATTTCCCTGTGAAACGAAAGGAAACCCGCAGCCAGCTGTTTTTTGGCAGAAAGAAGGCAGCCAGGTGAGTGTGCAGCTTGACTGCTTTTCTGAAATCTCTGAACTCCCCCGTCTCTGGTGATCCTCAATGTTTGCCCAGCCGCTCTTGTTATCAATGTTGAATTTATTATACTTTTAAACAAAGAGACCAATGAATTCTAGAATAAGTGGGAGTTAGCTGTTCTGATATAACATTCTTTATTTGCTAGTGTTCATTTTCTCAAAGTCTGGGTCTGACATATACTGGAAACAATGCAATGTTACTAAATTGTCTTAAAAAATCAACCAAAACCTCTGTAGCTATTTAAAAATTCTGAACAAGAAAATAATTTTGCTCTCTTGCATTTAGCTACATTGGGATTATTGAGTAAATTCATAAAAATAAGGTGCTTAGAACAGTGCCTGGTATGTGGGAAACATTAAAAAATATTCCCATTATTAATTGGCCTAGAAACCTAGTCTTAATCCTCACTCATAGATAGGCACTATAAATACTTTTATCATTATTAATTTAAGCATGCTTCTGTTTAAGAGTAGAAGAAATCTTGCCTTGTATTATTCTTTTTGGATTCCTTCATAGTGCAGTTAAACAGGAAATAATACAGTATATGCAAGAAGTTAGGAACAGTGGGGGCACCGTGGTTAAGCACTCACTTCCTAACCCAAAGATCAGCAGTTTGAACCTACCCAGAAGGTTCACGTAATGACGGCAGTCTAGGAAACCCTATGGGGCAGTTCTACTCTGTCCTATAGGGTCACTCTGAGTCAGAATTGACTTGACAGCAATGGGTATACAAGAGGAACCAACACCTGTGTTGTCTTTGCTGTGCCCTGGTTTGCCCTCTCCAGGGCCTACTGTGGGCAAGATGGCCTCTCCGAGTCTCTGCTAAAAGTCAATCGGATAGACTACTTTTTTCATTCAAGTCTTGGGTCTGAGGTACGATCAGTGTTTAGCATCTAATTTCTGAGGTAGAGTTTCCAGCTTAAACCAGATGAGAAATTCTGTTCTTTGCCTAAGACTTTATCTGTGCATTCCTGAGGGAGCTAGAGAGATTCTTGTTCTAGACTCCAGAACCATCGCCAAAGATGCACATAGTTCTCAGGAAGACATTGACTGACCCTCTTCCTCAGCACCCTCTACTGTTAGTCCAAGTTCTGGAAAAGTTTCCTGGGGGATATGGCATATTTTAGGCAATATTACAAACCTGTTCGTTAAAAATCACGTGTCTGCCTAGAGAGGCACCAAGAAACTCCCCTCATCATTGTGTCTAATGGCTGGGGGTCCTGTACATTCCTGTACCACCCCAAGCTAGCAGTTTTAACAACTCAGCCTAGATGGACAAATTGTTTTTCTCGCTTTCCTCAACTCTCCTTGTTGGAGTCACACACCCTTTGTTTTGTGTGAGGTGGAGGTGGTGGTTGGGAGATAAGGTACAGTAATAGCTGCTGCCTTACACATCAGAATTGTTCCAGGTCTTTACTCCCTGGTTTTTTTTTTTTTTTTTTTTAAATCATTTGGTAACTATAAAATAGATTTCTGCGTGTAGAGTTCCCTTGACTTTTCGCTTAAAATTAGCTGTGGGATAGAAACATTCCAAACTCTAGAATGAGTTTAAAGCAACATGACATAGTTAAACACACCTGTAAGTGCAGACACACACACACGCGCGCACACACACACACACGCGCACACACACACACTCATTTACTCCCTGAAAGAGGAATAGTGGGAAAGCCATTTCACACTTTATTATTATTTTTTTATTTTGAACTGTACAATCTTTGTAAGGTTATTTAATGACACAAAAATGAATTTTCTTAATCTATAATTTGGGAATAATAAATTTTACTTCACATGAGTTATGAAAATTACATGAAAGATAGATTAGATATGTAAAAGTGCTTTACACATTATGGTCAAACAAGACCATAATAAATATAATAATGTTAATAAATTTTATTATTGCAAATTTATACTTTAAATCCACATATTGACTAAAATCCCATGAAAGTGTAATCCCTTGTTATTGTACAGACACAGCTATATAAAAAAAAACCAAACCCCATTGCCATCGAGTCCATTCCAACTCATAGCGACCCTACAGGACAGAGTAGAACTGTTTCCTAGGCTATAATCTTTATGAGAGCAGATCACCACGTCTTTTCTCCAGCTGAATAGCTGGTGGGTTCTAACCACTGACTTTTCAGTTAGCAGCTGAGTGCCAGGACTACTTATATGTAAATTATATCTCCTAAAATATCTAGATACTGTTTACAAGATACTGCATATATACATCATTTTTAAATGTGCTACATTGTGTTTCAATGATTTTGAAGCAAGTAATGGTCAAATAGTATTTAAATTTTTTTTTTCTGTTATTTGCTAACCCAAAACCAAACCCAATGCCGTCATGTGGATTCCAACTCACAGCAACCCTATAGGACAGAGTAGAACTGCCCCATAGGGTTTCCAAGGCTGAAAATCCTTATAGAAGCAGATTGCCACATCTTTCTCCCGAGAAGCAGTTGCTGGGTTCGAACCACCAACCTTTTGGGTAGCAGCCGAATGCTTAACCATTGCACCACCAGGGCTCCATTATTTGACACAGTGACATGTAATTCCAGAGATATTAGTCTTAAGGATTACAAAAAATTTCCAGTCTGATAATTTGATATGATTATAATCTTAGATAAGTTTTTTTTTTCTTCCGTTCGTCTTTCTGCCTCCCAGCAGATAGAGAAAGAAGAGAGAATGAGAACAAAAGAGAAGGGCTTGATCAAACTGTAGATTTTCAAATCATGAATTGGAATATTAGGAAAAATAAATCAGTCTTACTGTCTCTAGTATCCAATTTTTACAGTGATCTATGACTACCCATCAGTACAAAGAGTTAAGAGCCTGAGCTTAATGGTCCATATGCCTCAATATGTGCTGATAATGCCAATTAGCACTAATAGGATACCCAGGCACTTCAAGGCAAGAACAGCTCTGTAGAGTTCCTGGGTTTTGCTTGTAATCCATTTTCTTTTGCCTGTGTCACATAAGCAGGGAATAAAGATGATGGGTTAACCTCAATCGGATGCCATTTTCCATGTCAACAAATCATTTAGAAGGTGGACTGATATTACATTGTAGAGAAAGAGATCCCTGAGTGAATTAAGCCCATCTGATGTATTAGCGCTATGTAAATTAGTATTCTAATTGTAGGAAAGTGCACACTTTGAGTTATTGTATCATTTTCAAGTGGCTTTAAAATTTAGACCCTTCTCTTTTAGATGTTTATTTCAGTAATATATTTGAATTCCACAGGAGAATTAGCTTGTTCTCAAATTACACTTCATATGTGTGGCAATGTCTAGCCTCATACGGTAACACAAATTTTATAAGAGGGCAACAGCATTCTGAAATCATATTTCTGACAAGCTAGCAAACATCACTACTTTTAGAAAGGGTTTAATAACATGGTAATGTTTATGTAAAGTGGGCTTATAGTGTCACACTTGAATCTAATAAAGTGGACATCCATCATGTTGCAATAAAGAGAAGAGCTTCTAATTAAAGTAGGACATCATTTGCAGGATTAAAGTCATTTAGTGTAATTGAAAAGTGTTAATACCCTATTTTATCCTCTTCCATTGGTATTACTTCAAGGGTAAAAACATTTTAAGGTGAAAATGTGTCTTGTGTCTGTAACTGAATGTTATTACCTCCTGATTATAACGTATTGAAACTGTTTAATTACAAACCTGGAAAATTAATTACTATACCGAGAAACAGATCCCAGAGGGTTATAGTGTTCTTTTTTGTGAGTAAATACAACATAAAAATTGATATGTCCTTACTTATAATCCAACTTGGAAACATACCTCAATATGATTTATTATACCCAAATGTTTCTCTTAATTGAACAACAGTAAAGCAACATAGGTCATCCAGGTTAATATCACTGCTCTTGTATAAGAACTTTTAAAGATTTGCAGTTGGGCTGTATGTATTTATTATGACAATTGGGAGGATGGTGCAGGACCAGGCAGTGTTTCATTCGGTTGTACGTAAGGTCGCTATATGAGCCAGCACCAACTCAATGACACCTAATAATAATAATTTATTATGAGATATTTGGTAACCTAATATTTTAAAGTTATCTTATGGAATTCTTTAAGCTTAGCATGTATATATTCCAGAAACAGTCTACATTCTATTTTTTGTTTTCAATAATGTATTTAATGTTGCTTAGACTGTAGTGTTTGTTCATAGCTCCTTCCGAAGCTATCGTGGCCGACTGTCAGCTTACAGAAAAAGAAGATTCAGCTGTCTGTGTTGGTCTCCGTCACACACTTTTGAACACCTTTTGGAGAAATTCAGCTGAGTCCATAAAGTGTTTCAAGTGATCAGAAGAAATTATATTTGGCATTCATTCGTACTTTGCAGCTTATAAAGCGCATACATAGTTCATATTACAGTCCTGATCCTCACACTGTCTTATGGCTTGAGTCAGATAAGCATTATTCATGCCCATTTTACAGATGAGGAAACCAGGTGTCAAAAGATTTTAAATAACTAGCAAAAAGTCAGAGAGAGTGTAAATGGTTAAGATACAGATATTTTAAAATGCAGATGACTGTTTCTTCTACTAGATCATGCTTACTTCTTAGGGAAGATCGTTTTTCCATGATTTGGAAAAAGTTCCCCAAATGGCAACCCACTGTGTGCCATTTACTCATTTCAGTACTGTTTTTTTTAAATCTGATTTTTTCCTCTTTTAACCATGTTCCCATTATTTTAATACCTGTTATATTTCCCTGCTGAGTGGAGAAAAAAATACTAATGAGAAGACTGTGTTTGCTTCCACAGAATCTGCTTTTCCCAAACCAGCCCCAGCAGCCCAACAAGAGATGCTCGGTGTCGCCAACTGGAGATCTCACGATTACCAACATTCAACGTTCCGACGCGGGTTACTACATCTGTCAGGCCCTCACTGTGGCAGGCAGCATTTTAGCAAAAGCTCAACTGGAGGTTACGGATGGTACGATATTATCATTATTATTGGACTCGTCTCATGAAAACAATGATTTTATTTTAGCACACGTGTGAACCATGTGAATTTTTCTGATTTGCTAATTCATTTAAGTTAATGCTCATTTTCAAAGTTTGAATCTACATAAAATAGAGCATTTTGACTGGTTTCTAATTCTCCCGTATATAACACCATTTATTGTCCCAAAGAAGAACATCACTGCACAATCCATTTTATTCTTAAAAATATAGTCATGCATTTTTAAAATAAATGGCACAACAATGGTAGTATACAGAAATTTATATGGTATATTTTTATTTAGACTTATGTGACATGATTGCTTCTAATGAATGTTAATAATTTTATTTTACTAAAGGAGGAGGAGCTATCACCTTTAATATCGTCAGTAAACACACGAGTGTGTTTTTGATCAACTAATCACATTATGAAATTCCTATGACTTTTTAATTATACTTTTACTAAGTTTAATTAAATGCCTACCAAAGTACTGATGAATGCTAAAATTAAATTTTTTATTTGCACATATATACCATGATTCTTAACTGAGGAGCCTACATTTATAATAAAAATAGAGATATAGGGCTCTACATAATTTGATTTTTTTTTTTCCCACAAGCTTATTTGTCACAATTGATAGTTAGGTATTTCATGAATTTCTGAGCATGAACTTAATCCCTATTCTTTGATGTCTTAAGTTAAGAATTCTCTCTTGTGCCCTTGTATTTGTGAGTTTTTTGTTTTGTTTTGTTTTTCTCCTAATGCTGGCTTCTGAGATATTAGAGCTTTGGTCTGTGACCTCTCTGATTTTCTTCTTTCTCTGCTGGTGACAATTTGGTGCTCTTTCATACAATTAAAATTTACATGTAGATTAAAAGGTCATTTAAAATTAATAGAAAGGCAGTATTTTTTAATATCTGTCCATGGTATTGCCTGATTCAATGCCATGTCAGGAATGGGAATAAACAGAACACACAAACATCGGCTGTGAGGACATGGAGTCATTAATGGCCGCACCTGCTGATCATGCAGAGATTTACTGCTATGGAGCTGAAAGGAGAAGTCAGGTTCAAGGGTAACAGTGATGAGAAATTCTTCCTTTAGATGGGGAAGATCTTTGATCCTTTGTACCTCCATATTTCTTTAAAAGAGTAAAGATCATTGTTAATCTTTTAAAGTCCTTTCGTGTTCTATTATCAGCAAAAATGTCCAGATACGTATACTTGGTATATAAGATATTCTGAGCAAATAATAATTTTTATTCTGTATTTACTGTAAAATATTCCAAACCTAACGATTAAGATCTCTATTATCATCTCGTTGCTTATGGTATTTTACAGAAGATAAACTTCACAATGTTTCTAAATGAAGAAATGGTTATAGAAAACGCAAACCATATTTCTAGAGAACAAAATTGATAAATTAGAAGAGCTAGTCGATATGACTGATACTGTTCATGGTGAATACTCGTATTATGTTTGATGTAATGAAAAGGAAAACTTCTGTTTTCATAATGTATGTTAGTTGTTGTATAATCTCAGAAATAGTAGTTATTCTAGCTTCATTTCTGACAACAAACTTAAAAGAGTGATGAGCAAGTTTAAATCTTCTGATGACTGAGATGGCTCCATACATTTTGGGTTAACTGACATGGATATTAATTCCTACATTGATTTTTACTTAAGTAAGCAATCACGAAGTCAAGATCCTTTTGCCACCATCAGTAAATGGAGGTTATAGAAGTTATTGATTTTGACAGCAAAGAAATCTAACTTCCAAATCTTTCTCTCTTCATATATACATATGCATGTTTGTTATATATGTATATATCCATGTGTATGTATATATATATATATATATGTCTGTGTATGTATAAACACACACACACACAGACATATATATATTCCTATCTGTAACCATTAATTTGCCACATTGGCTGATGACTTCAGCTTCTATTCATAGCTGTGGATTTTTCAAACTGGTTTACGATTTAATAATATGTGAACCATCATTTTCATTTTGAACATATTTTTTTGGTATCATCCAGGGCAATTTAGAGCCAATTGAAGTTTCAGTGCAGAATGCGAACATATGTCCTCTTCAGAGAAGCAAATGATTAATTATTCCATCTATAGCAATGTTTCTGTTGTTACGTTTCTGCACTTAGACTTTTTCTGGAAATGTTTTTAACTTAAGTGTTCATATAAGATGAAATTGCTAATTGTGAGGAAAGGTGCTGTGTTGAGTGATAATTTTACTGATGATAGATTGAACTACTTGAGTTTCAGAATATTCCTATGAAAGACTTTCTCATTGATTCATTGGCATTGCTCTTCATATCTTCCTTTCTTCTACCCTATCTTTTTCTCTCAAATAATTGGAAAATTGTAATGAGAAGTCTATGAGTTGAACCAATAGAATAGAGAGAAAGAAATATATTCATATCTTACATTGACAATGATTGTCACACCATGATCTTATATGAATAGTTTATTGAGATTTATAATGCATGGTTAGTGAAAACCATGGAGTTATTCACAGATCACTGGAAATCCTAAATGTTCATTTAACCTTTGACCTCAGTGTCATGAAAACCTGTGGTCGTCTTTCACCCATAACATCCTTGAAACTGAAAATTCTTTCTGGTCAGGAGATTTTCAATTACTTTATTGATCAAATTCATTTAAAAGACAATGAGTTACTCATTTAGGTAGTAAAAATGAAGGGAAGGAAGGAAGAATGGATGGATGGAAGGAAGGTTGGAAGAAAGGAAGGAACAAAGGAAGGAATGAAGGAAGGAAGGAACTAATTAGATGCCCTTTGGCTGTATCTAAAGATTTCAAGGATAAGAAAATAAAGGGCAGAATTATAAGTAATTACTAGAATTCTATATTTGAAACAAAGAAGTAACATTATTTAAAATTCAAGAAATAGGTTCTACTCTGGTAATTTAGACTCATTTTTTCACTGAATTGAAAACTTATTTACAGTCTTTGTGAACTAGCCTTTCTTTTTTTGACCCATATATAAAATACATTCTATGAAATTTTCAGTTTGAATTCTGTATGCACAATTATTGCCAGATGTGTCATAATCATTATAATATTGTTCTTCTACATTCTCTTAAGTTTTTTATATTTATTTCTAAAATGGAGAATTTGAAAGAAAATCAGTGTAATAAACAGATGTAATTTATGTTTGTGAGCAATAGACAGACAAGAATACTGTTTTTCTTAGTTTTTTAAAGATTTTATATATAAGATTTTATATATTTATGTCAACCAGTTGCCTTCGAGTCAATTCCAACTCATGGCAACCCCATGTGTGTCAGAGTAAAACTGTGTTCCATAGGGTTTCAATGGCTGACTTTTAGGAAGTAGGTATCTTTCAAGGCTCCTCTGGGTGGACTCGTACCTCCAACCTTTGATTTAGTAGCCAAGCACATTAACCAGTACACCACCCAGGGATTCCTTATATTTATACATTTATATGTGTACACACACACACACACACGCGCACGCACATATACACATATATGGGTAAATATGTGTACATATATATATTTTAAATACATAACTTGACACACACATGTGTATTTAAATACATATCTTGATGTAGTAGGTTTTGGAATCCTGGGTGCACAAAAGATTAAATGCTCTCCTACAAACCAAAACATTGGCAGTTTGAACCTATTCAGTGGGCCCTGGGAAGAAAGAATTGGGAATCTGCTTTCAAATGGTCACAGCTTTGAAAACTCTAGTAGGTTTAGTTTGATTGGAAGTCCATTGTATCATGATATGCGAGGGATCTATATTATAACTTCTATATTTAAATTTGCTCCACACGGTTTTCTAGGGTGTAATTTTTATGGTAGCAGATTGCCAGGCCTTTCTCCCACAGAGCTACTGGATGGGTTTGAACCATATATATACCTATATCTTAATTATAGTTAATGCAAAGTAAATTATAAACAATATATATGGGTTTAGTATAGTATGCGTGGTGTATATGTTGTTAGTTGTCATTGAGTTGGCTTCAACTCATGGTGACCTTATATATCAAAAACAAAATGGTGCCTGGTCCAGCACCATCTTCATGATCATTGGTATGTTTGAGCCCATTGTTGCCACCATTGTGTCAGTCCATCTCATTGAGGGTTTCCCTCCTTTTCACTGACCCTCTTCTTTTCCAAACATGATGTTCTTTTATAGTGATTGATGTTTCCTAATGATGTCTCCAAAGTAAGTGAGTCAGAGTTTTGCCATCCTTACTTGTATGGAGCATTCTGGTTGTATTTCTTCCAAGAATGATTTGTTCATTCTTTTGGCAGTCCACAGTACATTCAATATTCTTTGCCAACACCACAGTTCAAATACATCAATGCACACTATTTAATGAGTTCAAATAATACATATACATATATTGTTTGTATAGATAAAGAAAATACAGAGTACATTGTAAGAAATATGAATGAATTTGGGAAATTAACCTTACTTTCAATATCAAGATATCAAGACTACTGGATTTCATAGAAGTTAAAATATCCTAAAAATATCTTTATCCTTTAGTTTTGACAGATAGACCTCCACCCATAATTCTACAAGGCCCAGCCAACCAAACACTAGCAGTAGATGGTACAGCATTATTGAAATGTAAAGCTACTGGTGATCCTCTTCCTGTAATTAACTGGTTAAAGGAAGGATTTACTTTCCTGGGTAGAGATCCAAGGGCAACAATACAAGATCAAGGAACACTACAGATTAAGAATTTACGGGTAAGTGATGTTTGACTTCTATTTGAGTTTTCATCTCAATGTAAGTTCTGCCCTAGGGAAAAACTGTGCGTGAACTTAAAATCTTATACCTAGTGTAATTGTCTTATATTTTATTGTAGGCTATGTTATTTCTTATTTTACATATGATGCATTAAAACTAAAGGGAAGGTGATTGTCCTTATGCTACTCATAAATTCATGACAGACCTAGACACCTTTTACTCTTTCATCCCAATCTGTATGTGTGCAATCAGTGAAACTAGAAATTTAAATGTAATGTAATGTAAATAATTTTTAATGTAATTATTTTTTAATGTAAATAATTTTTTTTTGCCATTGCCATCAAGTAATGGCCCCAAGTAAAACTGCCCCATAGGGTTTCCAAAGAGTGGCTGGTGGATTCAAACTGCCGACCATTTGGTTAGCAGCCTGAGCCCTTAACCACTGCATCAACAGGGCTCCATGTAAATAATAGTACTACATTATTTAAAGTAATTTGAAAGTGACAAATGCTTCTTATTTACTCTGATGAACAAAGGGAATTAAAAAAAAAAAAAAAAAAAACAAGATATATGTAGGGAAATACGGATAAATTGGGATGGCCAAAGAGTTGTGTGGAGAAATTAAAGAGAAAAGAGACGAGACTGAGTACATAGGCACCAGATTTGGCTAGTTGATAGAAAACCTTATATTTTAGGTTACATTTCTGTGGGTTTCATGTTTAAACCCATAGACAAGAACAGGCCATTTCTTGCCCTTTCTGAGAGGATTACATGGTGAAGAATGACCATTCCTGACAACATTATAAAAAAGTTGGACCTGCTCCAAGAGGAACTCAAAATAAAATGTCTTGTTTTGAGTATTGTATTAATTACCTATTAATGTGTTACAATTTTAACAAACGCTTAGAGATGTAAAACAACATACATTTTTTTATTTCACATTTTCTGAGGGTCAGGTGTCTGGAGATGACCTAGCTGGGTCCTCTGCTTCATGGTCTCCCAGGACAACAGTCAGGTGTCAGTTAGGGTTGTTGTCTCATCTGAAGAAGGACTGGGAAAAGAGCTTCTTCCAAGATCTTTTCCAAAAATAATCTTCTTTGTGGTATCAGACTGATAACCCAAGTTTCTTGCTGGCTGTTGGCCAGAGATGGCCATTAGTTCCTTGGCATGTGGATGTCCTCAGAACGACCACTTCCATCCTCATAGTCAGCAAGGAAGAGTCTCCTTGCAAAACAAGTAATATAAACCTATATAACAAATTAACAAAAGTGACATCCTATCACTCTACTGCCATATTCTATCTCAGGAGCAAGTCACAGGTCCCTCCCATAATCAAGACGACTGACTGCACAAGATGAGAATACTGGGAGGGTTTTGTCAAGGGACCAGTTGTCTGTCACAAATATATTGAACTATTTTGACAAATATAACGAGCACCCCCGCCACATACCAAGCTCTATGCTAAAGCTGGACAGTGTGTTATAGTAACGACAAGATTGGGAATGAGAGCCAGAACTAAGATAGTTGATGAAGAAGAATGGATGGAAAATTATTCAGTGAGAGAACAATTTGTAGAATATGATGTCCAGGTAGAAATTGTGCACTAAGAAGAATAAAAACCACAAAAAACAACATAGGGGAATTTTTCCATTCACAAACCAGGGGAGGAAAATGAAATATTTTTATTGTACATATTTTCAGATGATCATAATTTGAAATATTCTTCTCTAAGTATATAAATACGTTCACATGTTTATCTGCTTGTTTTATCAGTATATCATATGGATACATATGCCAAAAAGAATAGCTTTCTATTTTTGTGGCTCATGTAATTGTAAATGTGTACACACATACACATACACACATTTAATTTTGAGATTCAGACACTAATTATTGCTCTAAGATGAAAACAATGTTGTCAAGTTCAAATAAGAGAAAAGTAAATTAATACAGATTTTGTTTAGCCTGTCTTATCATTGATTGTAAATTAATTGTTAACCTTCTTTGAACAAAATGGAAGTTATTAAAAATTAATGCCAAGTTTCCTTGTGTAAACACTTTAACCTCTCTCTCTGGGCTAGAGGCAGACTTGGGCCATGGAGGTTAATGCATTTTCACTGTGCCACTGAATTAAAGAGTGTGCTTGAATAGGCAAGCTCCCCAGTAGTGCTTGAAAGAAGCAATTAAAGATGGGTGCTGGATGATCTCAAACAAACTTTGAGCCCACTGACAGGCTTCTGAGTAGTCTTTCTGAGATACAAGCTCCTGGGGCTTGTCTGCAGCCAACTACACAAGGAGAAAAGTAGGTGATGGAGCGTGCCAACACATTAATCTCTTTTTAAAGCACTTGGTTAAGGGTAAGAGGACGAGGATGGAGAAGATGTGAAACACTCATGATCACAAAAGACATTATTTAAAGTTTAAGGAGTAAAAATGAATGTGGTGATGATGGTGGTGATATAAGAATGAGTTTCAGTCATGATATTTATGCTTTTGATAAACTCCAGAATGAAAACATTGTTCTTTTTTCTGTAAGATGGCTGTATTTAAAGGGAGATAAAAATGTGCTTCACAGTATTTCACTCGTGCAGTCAAGAGAGGATTTCTATAGGTCATATTCCTTTGTGTTGCAGTATTTCTGTTTTGGTACTTAATACAAGAAAAAGAAATGATGAATGCTGTGTCCTCATAGTCCAGCTAATTGGTAACTGAATCTGTGTCTTTTGAGAAGTAGAATATTCCAACACTCATTAAAATTATACCTACCACAGCTAACGTCAGACTTGTATCTCCACACAATGACAAGGAGATGCAGTTAAGAAACATTACCTACCTCTTCTCTTAGCATTTGCACGTAATAACAAGTGCCACATTTTGTTCAACAGCTATAATAAAATGCAAATTCTTTTCCTCTTCCACGGACCATATTCAAATGAATATCCCATTAAAATCCAACCTCAGCTCATTACATTTAGTTTGTGAGTGATGCTTCTTAAATGCAAAGATTTTTAATGACTATAATGTGTGCACAGCCACATTTGAAAGAATGACTCTTTCTACAATGCTTATCCCCATCATTCCTCCATACAATAGAAGACAATTGTACAGAGATAATATGGTAAAGAACGACATGCCAGAGCAATTTGAAAGCTAAGTTAAAATATATAATGGCATTTCAAATCAATTAAAATGGTTCAGCAGCAGTAACATCCGTGCACCAGTGATTTACCTGAGAGTCCATTGTAGAAGGTGGAATCCTCAATACACTTAACATTTTGAACCCAGCAGATATAATGTACCACAACCTCCCATATTTCATCAAAAGTTAGACTGATGTTCATCACAGAATTTTAATCCTACGTCTTGTGATGGCGATATTCTATTTGGTCATCAGTGTTTCTTCCTTGCCTCACTTTTTCTTCAACTCCCAAGTTGATGTAAATGTGTGTTGTTCGTACTGTAAGCACAGACGGCTCAACCACAGTGAGGACTTTTGGGTTACGTCTTTTATTAATCTTGGGCTTTTGTCAAGGTATGCTCACTGAATCTTCTGCTTTTTTCATTTGTGAAAGAGAAATCTTGATTATGTTATCAACTATTTCTTTCTAAAAGTCTTTTTCCATTCTTCATTGAATAACAAATATATATTTAAGTGATCAATGAAATGGCGATTTTTAAGTATATCTTAAAAAAAAATGTCATAGATTATCTCTGGGGTCCCTTTCACCTGTAAATTGCAGTGATTCAATAAACAAGGTTTGTTTGGCCTTTAATGATACAGTTTTGTTTCCTTCATTCTCATACTGCTGCAGGCCCTCCTTGAAAACTCTATGGGGGCAGTTCTATGAGTCGGAATTGACTCTTTAAAGGGAAATATTTACTTTAAAAAAAATTTTTCTTTTTCACTTTTTTCCATATCTTTCAAAAGAAATGAAGGGTTGGCCACCTGTTATTTCATTGCTTATGTCTTCTTGGCTACCTTTTATCCATTGAAATATAGTGTAGTTGAGACAGAAAGCACAGCTTTACATTGCTGTTTCTCTGTATGTTTGTGGGATGCTGAAAACATTCTGTCCTAAGTTGTCCATATCTGACTCTGACACAGTGAAGCCCCATCATAAAATGGAGTTAAGAGATGAGTATTACCGTGGAGGCAAGAGAGAAATAGAGAGAGGAGAGAGAAATGGTGTTTACCAGACAAGTATCTAGTTGCAGAAATATAAATTTAAAAAAAACCTTTGAATTGCTATTATAAATAAAATAGCCTTATGTGTGTTTATTTTATTATTTTCTGCATACATATGATTGACTCTAATGCACAGTTTGGATGGCCAAATGATATATCACATTTTAAGAAGTTAAATATTGCTTGGTAGAGGTCAAGTAATTATTCCACAAAATGATTAATTCCGCCCATTCTGTGCACTGTAGATTTCTGATACTGGCACGTATACGTGTGTGGCTACAAGTTCAAGTGGGGAGACCTCCTGGAGTGCTGTGCTGGATGTAACAGGTGAGTTCTTTGTGAATTACCTGAACAGTAGAAATCCTGAGCCCATTTATCAATTAGCTCATTATCAAATAAGAAGGAGAGATCGGGATTTTAAATTCATTGAATGTAAAAACTAAATCTTCCCCCACTTTTGAATTCCTGCGCCACTTGGCATATAGCATTGCATATGTGCAGTTTGATAAACGTGTCCTTGATAACCTTGTTATTTTAATGTCTTTCTCTAAAGTGCAAGCACTTCTAGTGATTATGTGTGGAAGTCAAGTCAACATTTACTAACATGTAAAAACCAAAAACCAAACCAGTTGCTGTCGAGTCGATTCTGACTCATAGGACCTAATAGTAAGAGAGTAATTTTCACTTATATATTTCTGATTCAGAATGAAGATGAATTGCTTTCTGTCCACATCAGCTCTTTTAGTAGACTGTTTATCCTTTTTGTAAGCAGCATCGTCAGCTTTTGCAATCAGGAACGAAGTTAATTTTTTTTCTGTTTGTCCTCTATAGAATCTGGAGCAACAATCAGTAAAAATTATGATTTAAATGACTTGCCAGGACCACCATCCAAACCACAGGTCACTGATGTTACTAAGAACAGCGTCACCTTGTCCTGGCAACCAGGTACCCCTGGAACCCTTCCAGCAAGTGCATATATCATTGAGGCGTTCAGGTATGGGACAGTTCCTTTGTCCTCCGCTGGGTTTTTTCTTTAACTCCTAAATTCTAAAATCTCACAGGAACTCTCCTGTTTTATTTCAATGACATGTTCAATCAATGTGTTTTAAGGATTAATCTTTTATATCTGATTTTATTCAAGAACAGATTTTGCTGTTTTCTTCATTTATAACTTAGATATCCTTGCCTAGATCTATGGGAATCTATTTTATGACATACTCATTTAGTTCCTTTCCTTACTGTGACCCTTGTAGGGATTTGGGATGAGAATTTTGACATTAGAACTAGGCAGACAATAATTTAATTAGGTACGGGCACTGTTTAAGTTATGCGAAGTTTACTGGGGCATGGGATCCTGGAAACTTTGTTGTTAATAATTAGAGCAGAACTTAAAAAAATTCCTTTTGTTTTTATGCTGTATATTTGAATACATCTGTTGGGTATGCGTGAGAGAAAATTAAAAGCCACAATTACATTGATTCCATGTGCTTCTGGTTGTTGTAAGGAAAAAGATGTTTCCACATGTTATTTGAAGTTAAGTGTTGTCCATATCATTATAGTCTTCTGCAGACTGGGTAAAATATGAATGGATAAAATGAGAAAAATGTAGCTTTCAGTTTGGTTTCAGTGTGCTTCTACCTGACATTTTAAAGATGAAATGATAACCACTGTCCTTTTCCAACATTAGAATAATGATCACTTTCATTTTCGGTGTCCTTAATCTATATTTAAGGTGATGATAGATACATAGTTTTCAGCTTTCCCAATAGTATTTTTCTATCATTTGCATGCTTTGATGCTGAAGGACTTCTGAAAAATAAACAGACAGCCATGGAAATCACATTTGCTTCTTATTTTGAGCAAAGGTAGCATCTGACCTTAGACAAAGTACTCGAAAGTGGCACACACACAGATGTAGTGATATTTTACCGTTCTGAGATGAGAAATCCCAATACTGTGTAATGTACAATTTTATTAAAAATGTGACCAAGGGAAAATATTCCTTACATGCTTCCTTTCTTCTTTTACAGATATGTAGTTTTAGAAGGCTCTATTATAATATTGCATGTGGAATTGATGCAAAAGAAAACACACCCTGTAACAGGAAAATGTGTTGGCATAATTTACTCTGTAGTCCATTTATTCTTTCTACAGGTTAATTCTTTTCAAGGTATATATATACATATCTATATATATACATTTACGAGGACCATATTTATTGTATAAACTTGATGTTGTGATCTTGGCCTCTCTTCCTTTTACAGGTATTCATTTAGTGGGCTGCTGTGCATTAACAAAGGGCTGTCACATCTCCCGGGCTGAGTTTAATTTTGTTGTGCATGGCACTTTCGTTAGGCTCGGCTTTGTTGTTGAATAAACTGAAATCATCCAAATGTTTCATTTATTGGGCTGAGCACTTCAAGTGTTGTGTATGTGTGTGCGTTTAATTTTCAGCCATTAACCTTTGTCATTGATACCCAACTCCATTTTCGATATCTTTATGACTGTTCTTTAAATGAAATTTCTGTTCCTATTTCAGCCAGTCAGTGAGCAATAGCTGGCAGACGGTGGCCAACCATGTAAAGACCACCCTCTACACTGTCAGAGGACTGCGACCCAATACAATCTACTTATTCATGGTCAGAGCTATCAACCCCCAAGGTCTCAGTGACCCCAGCCCCATGTCAGATCCTGTGCGCACACAAGGTAATTTCGGTAGCTGTAAACGTGACTGATTCTAGAGTTAGGAATTAAACAGATCTTTAAGAATAAGAGGATTTCCTGAGGAAAGATAAGTGTATCTGAGTTGCTTTTCATATTTATTCACTAGACCCGATCTAGTAAAGAGAGGAAGCTTGCCATTCACTTTGGTGAGGCGTGTCCTCTTTCTGGAGTTTCGGGATCTTGTTTAGAAAAAATAAACAAGCTAATTGGGTCCATTTACACAGCAAGAGTGAATCCACTAAGTTATGTCTTCACTGTATTTCAAAGGGGAATTTTTTCTCCTTCTTTGAAATTAATTGGGCAATAGCAAAAATGATCTTTAATAGCTAAGATGCCCAGATACCAAAAAAACCCATTGCCATCCAGTCGATTCCAACTCATAGCAGCCCTATAGGACAGAGTAGAACTGCCCCATAAGGTGTCCATGGAGCGGCTGGTGGGTTGAACTGCCTTCCTTTTGGTTAGCAGCCATACACTTAACCACTACGCCACCAGGGCTCTCCAAACCAGATCGTAGTATCTAAATTATTTCCTATTGTTCAGGAATTTTGTTCTTACAGTTCAGTGGTTCTCAAAGCGTGGTTCCTGGTCAAGCAGCATCTCCATCACCTGGAACCATGTTGGAAATGCAGATCCTCAGAACCCAACTCAGCTGCCCTGGGGGTGGGCCCAGCAGTTGTTTTAACCTGCCTTCCCCATGATGCTGATGCTCAAGTTTGCAAACCACTGTTACGGTGCATTTTATTAAATCATAGGGCTAAAAGAAGCAATTCATTTCTGAAAGCAGTATGTCACTTTTTTCCTGAGGCATGCAGTTCTTGTAACTAATTTAAAAACACCCAGACTATTAAAATATACGATCAAAATGGAAGATTTCCTCATCTCATCTTGAGTACCCTGTCTCTTCAAGTTGAAAAGGCACTGGAGTCTAAGGGTTAATGTACTCTGCTACATTCAAGTTTTCTTTCTTACTAGGAGGTGAAAGGAATTAATAAAATAGGAATGGCGGCTTTATTGTTTGTTTCAGCCTAGTTCCCACTGGGTTCTTGAGAAAGGGTTAATTATTTCTTATTTGAAAAAGGCTTTGAGCAAGATATAATTCAAAGTAGTATTTTTTATGCTATGTAAAATACCATACAGCCATAAAATGTTCTTATAATTACAATGCAGTTCAGTAATAGTAACTAGCATGCTATTATAACAGAGAAGGGTGCCTTAAAGGAATCTAGTGAAATAAAGTCACCACGTGACTTTGTAACATTGCTGACATGATGACAGTCAGGGGAGGAGGGAATGCCACTTTGCTATTGTTCTGTAAGCAGTAATGTGATTAATTTTCCATGATGATAAAGGGCCTGTAGGTAAAGAACCTGTCTAAGGAGAAAGAAAAAGCACAACAAGGCATTTGAAGACCTGAAACTGGTTATATTTTATCTTACCTGGATCCAATTGCTTTTAGTGTTTCCGAATTTAATGAGTAAATTATTAAACTTGAAATGCAAGAGGGATACAGTTTTAAGTCAAGAAATTATAGTACTTGGATCACTTATATCTGTGTGGGTAGAAATAGTCTGTTTTTGTGTGTAGCTGCAATGCAAGGTGGGGAGATCACCAATGGGGAGGATGTCTGGTATGATTAAATCCAGCAGACATTCATGATCATTCAATAACTATGCCAGTCACTAACTCTTGACTCATAAAATAACTTCACAGTGAAAAGGTCAAAAAAGATTAATGAAAAGTTGTTTGTGATCTGGCTTGTTCCAGTCGAGAGACTATATAGAACACAGGAGTTACGTTCTCTTAGCAGATATTTAATAGGAAAACTCATGTTTTGTATCTGAACATCAGCATCATTTTTTAATACCATGTTGTCAGCAGCTTTGCATTCTGCCAAGCACTTCTTTTCAAAGAGCACTTCTATGTGTGAGCTTTTGTTTTCCAAAGGTATTAAGTACACAGAAGCTGGAAATCTCTTTTTTTCAGTAAGACAGCAAATACTTGTACTTTAATTTACTGGTAACATTTTTTTCTTTTTTTTTTTGCTAAGTCAAGTAAAAATTAGTTCCGCTGTTTATTATTTTTGTTAAAGATAAAACAAAAAAGTGGAACTGAAGAAAAGTCACCAAATTATGGCTCTCAATTATTTATGTCCCAATTTAAGTTAGTACACGTAATTGAAGTTATGGCTGAGATATGTACTTAAACATACTTGTACCAGAGTGTTGCATTGTGGCCTGAGAAAAGAAGAGAAAGCAAGACTAGAAAAATAAATCATTTTAAATTGGACTTCTTTCCTAAAATAAAGTAGTTGGAGAAAAAAAAAATCAACTTAACATTAAAGTGCACCAATTAGGGAAGCTGACTTGAGTAGGTGTGAAATTCAGTGTGTATTATCAATTTAGTAGACTTGGATGTCCATAACTTATCATTTTTTCTTAATGGATACCTTGAGTGTAAACCAATTCATGGAGTGATAGAGTAGTATTTAACTGAATGGTGAATAAGGGGCATAGCAAGGTATGGCTAACCTCCCCATTTTTCTCCCTTCCCTGTCCATTCCCCATTGTCCAAAAGCAGCTGCATTACCCCTGTGTCAGATACTGGAGTACTGCTCAGAATTTATTACTTATTATTAGAATTTTAAGTTTTTTGGTAAAATCTACTTTTCTGAATTTGAAGGATTCTTTTCCTTCTCTGCCTCACTCTGTTTAGCTGTAATGATGTAATTCGTTCCCCAGTGCCCCCCTGATTACTTTCCCTCCCATGCTCCCAGGCTGGGACAGGTCCAGGAGCAAGAAAACCAAACCTACTATTCAGACAAGTGTCTGGACAAATTTCTAAACAGCAGATTTCAGATATATCTCCATTTCCTACTCAGGAAAATCCTTCAGTAAGGCAAAACGCCAACTTCTATAAAATAAGTAAGAGGAGCCCCGGTGGTGTAGTGGTTAAGCGCTTGACTACTAACTGAAAAGTTGGAAGTTAGAACCCGCCAGTCCCTCCGCAGGAGAAAGATGTGGCAGTGTGCTTCCTTAAAGACTTACAGCATTGGAAACCCTAGGGAGCAGTTCTGCTCTGTCCTATAGGTTCCAGATGAGTCAGAATCGACTCGACAGCAGCGTTTTGTTCTGTTTTTTTTTTGGGGGGGGGCAGATATAGGAAAATAACCTTTTCAGAGAAGTTTTAGAGCACATACTTTATTCTTTATTAAGGAAACAATGCTTGTGTTCAGAAGATCTTTCACACAATTTGTGTGTATGTGAATGGGGGTCAGAGATTATAAAGACTCTTCTGTGAATATTTTTTCAATGAAGATAAATATCGTCTTTCAAATTATATCCTAGCATTATACACACACACACACAATATATATATATATATAATGTAAAATGATCCTTGAATGTTTTCATCACAAAGTTGTTTTTTTCCCTGTAGTTATTTCTAATGTGTAACATTAGCTTATGTAAAATAAATTGGAATTTTGCTATGAATTTTTAAAAATTGAAATGGTTATCTACTTGCAGATATCAGCCCACCAGCACAAGGAGTGGACCATAGACAAGTACAGAAAGAACTAGGAGATATCAGTGTCCGTCTTCATACTCCTGTTGTGTTGACTCCCACCACGGTTCAAGTCACTTGGACGGTAAGTTTTCAAAGGCTATAGGGTCACTATGAGTCAGAATCGACTCAACAGCAATGGTTTTTTTCTTTTTTAAAATATAAATGATACAAGAAAACTATACCCCCCCAAAATTAAAAAGTAAAAGCCCTTACCATTTAAAATCACTATGTAATCAATGATAAGAAAAATATTCAATATAGTAAAAGATCATGATATAAACATGGCATGTTCTGCCTTCTGAATTTTTAATAGCTTTATTAAGATATGATTAACATGCACAACTCAATTTTTTTTTACTATGTTTAAGAGTTCTGCAGCCATCACCATAATCTATATTTAGAACGTTTTCATCACCCTAAAGTGAAACGTTATGCCCATTAGCAATCAGTCCTCATGCCCTGTACCTTTGCCCTATGCAACCACTTACCTGCTGTCTGTCTCTATAGATTTGCTATTCTGGACCTTTCATATAACTGGAATACAATATGGGATCTTTTGTGTGTGACTTCTTTCACTCAGCATAATGTTTCTGAAGTCTATCCACATTGTACTCTATCCCAATGGTCATGAAAGTGTTGCCCCTTCTTCTAAATATGGAAATTATTTATGTAAGACTCAAGTCATTGTGCTTTATTGCCAAATAGTATTACATTGTATAGATACATCACATTCTGTTTATCCATTCATTAGTTGATGCACATTGGGTTGTTTTCACTTTTTGCTATTATTAACAGTCATGTACACATTTCTGTATGGAAATATATTTTCATTTCTCTTGGGTCTATATGTAGGATCATATGCTAATTCTTTAACATTTTTAGAAACTGCCACAATGTTTTCCAAAGTGGTTGTACCCTTTTACATTCCCACCAAAACTGTTTGAAGGTTCCATCTTACCCACATCTTCACAGACACTTGTTATTGCTTGTTTTTTTTAATTATAGCCATCCTATGCTATGAGTTGGAATCTACTCAATGACAATGAGTTTTAGTGGGTGTGGAGTGACATCTCGTTGTGGCTTTGATTTGCATTTTGTTAATGGCTAATGATATTGTGCATCTTTTCATGTGCTTATTGCTCATTTGAGTATCTTCTTTAGAGAAATGTCTACTCAAATTATTTGCCCATTTTAAAATTCAGTTAGTTTTCTTATTATTGAGCTATAAGTTTTTTTTATATATTCTGTATAGAATTTCCTTATCAGATATATGCTCTGCAAATATTTTCTCCCAGTCCTTGGGTTGTTTTTCTACTTTCTTGATGGTATCATTTGAAACACAAAAGTTTTTAATGAAGTTATTTTCTGATGTTAAATCAACTACCTTTACATTTTTTCAGCACACTTATAGAGCAACACCAAAACTTGTGTATAATTGTAGTAATTTTTTTCACAGGCACTCAAAGAATTCGGTGGGTTTAAGAAATAAAGTGATATTTTACTATATGCTGCAAATGCTCAAGTGCTCTCCCTGACCACTGTTATTTCAGAATGCAAAATGTGTTTGTTCAGACAGTGGCCACTAAGGTGAAAACAATATATAGCAACTATTTTCTGCTTTGAATTTTTTGTAGATAACATATCCAAGGGACACCCATTGTCCCACAAATTTTACCCCTAGAGCTCTCTCAGAGTCCATAGGGACATATGTGTCCCAAATAAAAATTATCAAAATTTCTATTTTTCTTACAAAAAATTCAGACATGTCCTACAATATCTTTTAGAAACAGTAATTTGTGGCACATGCCAGTTTCTTTGGTTTCAAACAATTATGCAGGCCCTCTCCTAAAGGCTGCATGTACTGTCAGTGGAAAATTAACTTCCCAGTAAACCTGAGAGACAAAAAATATTGGTGGGTAACTGTTAATCCCAATGGTCATGAAAGGGTTGCTCCCTCCTCTAAATATGGAAATTAATTCTTTTTTTTTTTTTTTTATTGTGCTTTAGATGAAGGTTTACAGAACACACTAGCTTCTCATTAAACGGTACACATATTGTTTTATGACATTAGTTAACCCCACGACATGGCAACACTCTGTCCTCTCGACCTCGGGTTCCCTATTACCAGCTTCCCTGTCTCCTCCTGCCTTCTAGTCCTTGCCCCTGGGCTAGTGCGCCCCTTTAGTCTCATTTTGTTTTATGGGCCTGTCTAAACTTTGGCTGAAGGGTGAACCTCAGGAGTGACTTTATTATTGAGCTAAAAGGGTGTCTGGGGGCCATACTCTCAGGGTTTCTCCAGTCTCTGTCTGGCCAGTAAGTCTGTTTTTTTTGTGAGTTAGAATTTTGTTCTACATTTTTCTCCAGCTCTGTCTGGGACCCTCTATTGTGATCCCTGTCAGAGTAGTCAGTGGTGGTAGCCAGGCACCATCTAGTTGTACTGGACTCAGTCTGGTGGAGGCCGTGGTATTTGTGGTCCATTAGTCCTTTGGACTAATCTTGCCCTTGTGTCTTTAGTTTTCTTCTTTCTCCCATGCTGGTGAAGGGGTGAGATCAATGGAGTATCTTAGATGGCCACTCACAGACTTTTAAGACCTAAATATGGGAATTATTTCTGTAAGAGTCAAAGTCAATGTGTTCTATGAAGTTAATTACTTTAAAAGTCACTGAGTTTGAAAGAGTTAATCAAATTAGATCAAAATTCCATGTCAGTAGACTAGGATTCTTCCTAGAATGGGACCTTGTCATATTCATCTTTCTATACTAAGATGCCTGTCACTACTAATTTTCATAGCTATTTTCTTTCTGAGCTATGGCTTCTGAGACTCCACATCTTTCTCTTCTTTTTCCAGAGAGCAGAATGTCTATTATGAAACCGTTTTTTAATAACTATCTATTGAATGATCAAATCAGTCATTTTCTTACATTTTGATTTTTATTTAGCTTCAAAACAAGAAGGGGTTCAATTATATCCTGGGATATTTGTTCCTTAAGAGTTTGTAGTTACACATGTGATAAGATGTGTATTTGAGAGAAGTAAATTTGTTGGAACACCACCTGTTGGTCAGTTTGTCTTACCGTGGTGGCTTGTGTGTTGCTGTGATGTTGGAAGCTATGCCACTGGTATTAAAAATATCATCAGGGTCACCCATGGTGAACAGGTTTTAACAGAGCTTCCAGACTAAGACAAACTGGAAAGAATGACCTGGCAATCTAGTTCCAAAAAAGATTATCTAGTGAAAACCTTATGGATCCCAGTGGAACAGTGTCTGATACAGTGCTGGAAAACGAGACCATCAGTTTGGAAGTCACTTAAAATACAACTGGGGAAGAGCTGCCTCTTCACAATAGTCGATTTTAATGATGTGGATGGAGTAAAGTATTCAGGACCTTCATTTGCTGATGTGGCATAACTCAAAATGAGAAAAAATAGCTGTAGACATCCATCAATAATAGGAACTTGGAATATACAAAGTATGAATCTAGGAAATTGGAAGTAGTAAAAAAAATTAAATGGAACACTTGAAAATCAATATCCTAGGCATTAGTGAGCTGCTAATCAGGCAATCATATGGTCTACTATACCAGGAATGAGAAATCAAAGAGGAATGGCATTGCATTTAACATTTTGAGATCTCTCCTGAAGTACAAGGCTGTCAGTGATAGGATAATATCCATACGCCTACAAGGAAGACCAGTTAACACAACTGTTATTCAAATTAGCGCACCAACCACTAATGCCAGTGGTATAGTAATTGAAGATTTTACCAACTTCTGCAGTCTAAGATTTATCAAACATGCAATCAAGATGCATTGATAATTACTGGAGATTGGAATGCAAAAGTTGGAAACAAAGAAGAAGGATTAATAGTTGGAAAATATGGCCTTGGTGACAGAAATGATGCGGGAGATTATATGATAGAAATCTGCAAGACCAACGACTTATTCATTGAAAATACCTTTTTTAACAACATAAACGATGACTATACGTATGGACCTCACTGGATGGAATACACAGGAGTCAAATCGACTACATCTGTGGAAAAGCTCAATATCATCAGTCAGAACAAGACCAGGGGCTGACTGTAGTACAGACTACCAATTACTTAAGTGCAAATTCAAGTTGAAGCTGAAGAAAATTAAAACAATTCCACGAGAGCCAAAGTACAACCTGGAATATATCACGCCTGAATTTAGAGACCATCTCAAGAATAGATTTGACACACTCAGCACTAATGCCTGAAGGCCAGAAGAGTTGTGGGATGACATCAAGGACATCATACATGAAGAGAGCAAAAGATCATTAGAAAGAAAGACAGGAAAGATTAACCAAAGTAGGTATCAGAAGAAACTCTGAAACTTGCTCTTGAACATAGAGTAGCTAAAGGGAAAGAAAGAAATGATGAAGTAAAAGAGCTGAACAGAGGGTGGCTTGAGAAGACAAAGTAAAATATTAGAGTGAAATGTGCAAAGACCTGGAATTAGAAAACCAAAAGGGAAGAACAGGCTCGGCATTCCTCAAGCTGGAAGAACTCAAGAAAAAAGTCAAGCCTCAAGTTGCAATATTGGAAGATTCTATAGGCAAAAAATTGAATGACGCAGGAATTATCAAAACAAGATGGAAGGAATACACAGAGTCACTGTACCAAAAAGAATTAGTTGACGTTCAGCCATTTCAGGAGGGAGCATATGATCAAGAACTGATGGTACTGAAGGAAGTTGTCCAAGCTGCACTGAAGACATTGGTGAAATATAAGCTTCCAGGGATTAACAGAATATCAACTGAGATGCTTCAGCAAACAAGCAACACTGAAGTGCTCACTTATCTATGCCAAGAAATTTGGAAGACAGTTACTTGATCAGCTGACTGGAAGAGATCCTTATCCATGCCCATTCCAAAGAAAGGTGATCCAATGGAATGCAGAAATTATTGAACAATATCATTAATATCACACATAAGTAAAATTTTACTGAAGATAATTTAAAAACAGCTGCAGCAGTATATCAACAGGGAAACTGCCAGAAATTCAAGATAGATTTACAAGAGAACTTGGAATGTGGAATATTGCTGATGTCAGATGGCTC